AATACATTTTATTTTTTCTGATTTCATTTCTATACACACATACTTTAAATATAAAATTACATACGAATCATCCACTGCTTTCCCTCCCCCCCCCCCCCCCCCCCCCCATATAAATGAGACCGTTGTATACAAGCCCCTTTTTTACGTCATATTACAAGATATTTTTAAACCAATCATACTGATGCGCATGCGGAAGATCTATTATTGCCTTCGAAGTTACATAATAATTCTCGAAGAGAATTTTGCTTATTGTTAAGAAAACAAGAATATGTACCTTTAATAAATATTGAAACTTTGTAATCTAGGCATAGCAGAAAAGACAAAGAAACCCTTTTTTTTATGATTGAAAAGGCATCTCATTTCCTTAGCAAAAAGTCCCTTACATAACGGATAAGAATTATTTGATTTCTAATCAAATAAATTTAATAAATCACAACATCAAAAGATTTGCCCAACGGTGTTTTATGATGTAATCATGCCAATTAGGTTATCATTGGTAATTTTAATAGCACGAATCGTAAAATATTTCAAATTAATTAATAAAATGTCGAATGATCTCAAAAAAAAAAAAAATAGATTTACTATTTTAACATCAGATACTAGAACAATTTTTCCGTAAAAAAATTAAACAAACAGGGTGAAAGAATGCAGCTCGAATGACTTTGAATGCTGGATCAATGAGAAATCGATTTGCTAATGGATCAATGGATCAATGAGAAATCAATTGAATGATAACGGATGTCTAAAAAAATAAAATAAATAAAAAAATAAAAATTTAATTGCATGAACCAGCCAATCTGTTGTTTCTAATATTGTAATATTGTCCAGTTTTTCTAACAGGCAAATTAGTTTCCAAATTGAGAAATAATGAATGTGGAGAGCACCAAAGTTTTCTAATTTTCATTAAAAAATGAAATCATGCAATTCAAATTCTTTTAAAATGTTTGTGTACCAAGCCTAAGAAAAATTATAACCTATCGGAAAAAGAAAGTCATTTATTTGGCTTAGCTTTTCGAATTACAGCATTTTGCTATAAATACAACGAAAAAAAAAAAATTATAGGGAAGCATAATTTAACATTTTAAATATTTAAAACAATTCTTTTAACCACGTTTACTAAAAACTTACACAATCTTTTTTTAAAAATATCAAATATGGGAAGTCATATCTCCAAAAAAAAAACTACACTAAAACCAAGAAACAATTATGAAGAAATCTTTTTGTTAAATAAATCATTGGCAGAGGAATATGATTATGATAGAATGCATTTATCTCACAATTTAACAAGGGAAATATTTTCAGGAAATTTCTCATCACCTGTAAAACCTATTTTAGTTGACAAAAATACAAAAGTTTTAGACGTTGGGTAATTATTAACATTAACATTAACATTATCATTATCATTAACGCTTTAAATGAGCTAATTTGAAAATGTTCTTTTCTTCACTTGGTTTCAAAAAGTTGCGGTGCAGGATATTGGTTAAAAGAGATGTCGGCCGATTTTCCACTTCCCAATTATGTTGGCGTCGATATGTTACCAATTTTTCCAAAAACGGGATTTCCCAATAGAATAACATTTCAACAATATAATTTATTACAAGGGTTACCTTTTGAGAATAATAGTTTTGATTTTATTCATATCCAATATTTAGCCTTTGATTTTTCGGAACCAGAATGGGAAACTTTGGTATTTCAAGAACTTGTGCGTGTGCTTAAGCCGGGTGGATGGCTGGAAGTTTGTGATATCGAATCCGTACCTATGAATTCTGGTCCGATAACTGACTTAATAAATACGTCAAGTAAGTATGAACCATAAATTAAAATATCACGAACATTTTAAATCATTTAACCTCGAAAATAACCTTATTCTCTTTTTAACAGTGTGTAAAAATTACATATCGAAGAATGTTAACCCACAAATAGTTCAACGATATGAATCACTTATAAGATCGATCCCATCATTTTCATCATCAAAGATAAATCACGAAATACGCAATTTGCCATTGGGAATTTGGGCGGATAAAATAGGTGAATTGGGTAGCCTATTTATGAAAGAAACTTGTAGACTTTTTTTGCAAGGCAAAATTGGTCAAGATGTGAATATTAAACGAAAAAACATTAACACAACTTTAGATGAGATTTCAAATGAATTTGAATTATATCAAACATTTTTTAACATTCATAGATTATACGTTCAAAAACCTCATTAAAAATACAAAAAAAAAAAATTATAGCGAAAGCTACTTTTGATCTTCTAAAATATTGTAAATATTTATAACTTTACCAATAAATATAAATTTCTTTTTTGTTTATCTAATGATGATTTATATATTAACAAAAAAAAAAAAAAAAAAAAACATCGTATATGCACCATTTTTATTTTATTTTTTTTTCATGGTAAACCATTTTTACTTATTACATAAATGGGCATTTAATTTTTCCTTTTCGGATAAAAATAAATGATGAATTTATTAAACGTTACGAAATAAAGAAATGAACATGGAAATTATCAATAAAATAAAATAAAAATTTTTTTCTTTTGCATTAAGCATCATTTTCAAAAACTTTAGTTAATGAAGTTTCAAACTTTCTCATGTTATTATTCCGGGCACTGATAGGTCAATGCACTAATATTTGCTGTATATGTATGCACAGTATATTAATAACATATCTGGGGCGTACAAACATTTTTTTTTCTGAAAATGAATATTGACGAATATAGAATCGAAAATCATTTCGAAAATCATTCCAATATTCGGGATTCAAGTCCACGAAGTTTCTTCCGAAGGGTATTTTTATTATTATTATTTATTATTATTAATTTATTTATTTTTATTTCTTAAGAACCTTCTGGTATCAGTCTTGTTGAGGGTTCTTTGGGAGAGAAAAAGTTATATATTCAAACTCTCAGTACCAATTCGACATACCGCACTATTTCCCTATTTGTCATAAATAAAAGGATCCAGATCTGTTTTTGGAGATCTTGAAAGATTCATCGATCGTATAAGGTACCAGAAACCGCAAATCTGGTATTATCCGAAACGTACCAATGTTGTAAATTTTGTAAAATTTAAACGTTTTTGGATGATTCCCGGTTGTTCTTTTTTTCATTGGTTCTTTCGAGCAATCAAAAGTAATTCCAAAACGTCTAAATATCAAATGAGAAATACTTTAGATTCGATCACTTCAATTCTCAATATCCTATTGGAAATCATTAAATATCATGATTTTTAAAAATGATTTATTATTCAGCAAATTACAGGTTTTGGAATGGCGTTTTAAAGTTAATTATTGCAGGTGACAAATAAAATTTCACTAAAAAAAACATTTCAAATCAGGAATATTGAAACACGGAAGGCATGAATGAAAGGTGATAAAAATCACCAATCATCGATTTAAGTTCGATTTATCGATTTCCTTAATTTTGACCAGAATTAAAAAAATAATAATCGATAAATCCGCCTGAAATTAAAGTATTGTTTAATAAGCATTTTCCCAAGACTGGTTATTTTCCGACAATAGTTACATTATTGATGACATTAATTTGATTTAACCGATTTCTTTTGGAATATTGCGTTCGAAAATTTACGGGTAGTTAAACAACAAAGTGGTCTATTAAGTAAATTATTGCAGGGTCCAATATAACCGTGCGATCATTATTGAACGGTCAAAGTTAAATTTTGCTACAAAGATCACATTATTGTACAATATGCTCTGTATTAGTTATCGTTCATTCAATGTGGCAACTAATGCTATCTTATCAATATTATAAACGACTAATAAGATTTCGGCCTAATATGCTGAATGATTAAAGTATTATATTTTGAAAGAAGCAATGCAATCATTTTTAATTTAATAAGATTCTGTTAGAAACGAAATTATTAGGTACCTGTACTTTTGACAAGATGTTAGGACAAAAAATCATGAAAATTTTTAGGTAATCAAATATATGAATTTCTTTATTTACATAATAATAAGGTCAAAAATATCTTTTTTTTAAACGTAAATCTGAGAAGTTTATTTCCTTCAATAACTCTTCTTTACGACCTGAAATACTTCATATTCATCAATGGTAAAGTTGGTTGGAAGGTTGATGTTAGTATAAGTGTTTCCGTTATTTGCAGACCAAGCATTTCCTTTTCCACGTAAATCATTTCCACCACCAAAAGTTGGTCCATAACTACTGTGATAATATATCGCATTCTGATGGTTTTGAAAAACACGACCTATTTTTGCAGAATTGAGGTCATTACTATCTGTTATGTTAAACAAAAAGCTATCCCCTGTATTTCCATATTGACCATTCTGATACCAATCCAAAGGATTGTAACCACCAACAATTTGCTTTGAATCTTTAACTCTTGCAATAGATATTGTTGCACCCTTACTATCACATAATTGATGAAACTTTGCAGAATCAAAACCATCCCTTGTACCACGAAGAAGGAGATTAAATTTATATGGAACGTCTTTTGTAGCATAGTCTTCACTTCTCTTATCAATCCACTTCGCGAAAAGCTTAAATAAATTAAATTTAATCAAGACAGAAATAGATTTAGGAGTCCTGGAAGGCTTGAAATTTAACATTGGAGTAGAATTTGGAACCATATGATACCGAAGGATATCATTTAGTAGATCTTTAGGCAAGAGGTCTTTATACGGATACACCTTTAAGAAAAAGTCTTCCTTGGAAATATCATAGAATCTAATTAACAGAACGTATTCTTGTATAGTCTGTTTAACGTTTGTTAAATCATCCGATGACCACGAAGAATCGCTTTCATCGATCCTTAGGTTATGAACGAAAAGCCATCTAAGAAGAGATTCCCATATCTCAATTTCTTCCATATTAAGATCATCTCTTTGAAGTACCATCGTAATAATTGGTTTATCTAAAGATGGAAATTTTTGAGATGCAAAAAGAATTCTCGGTTCTGCGCTTATGATTTCAAGACAATAATCTTTTAGGGTTTCAAATGTTTCATGTTGGTGGATGACTTCAAGTGTGACGACAGGATCTTTATGCAAATATTCTTCATTATTGATTAAATAATCCTGGATGTGTTTTATCAATTTGCTCAATCCCAGTTCATCAGCCGCAACCAGGAATTGCAAAATTACTTCCTTATGGTGTTGATCATAATCTACAATACCCGTATACAAATACCTAAAAAATCGAATTTTAATTATAGAAAAGATTTTAAGAATAATAATAATTTCGATTACAATTAAAATTGCCTTACTTGCCTGAGAATTAATTGGAAAACCTCAGAGGAGATGTTTGGTTTTTTAAAAATAAAATTACCATCATCGTCTTTTTCTTCCCAATCTTTAGATAATGCTCTCTTAAAGTATGGACATCTAGCACGAAGAATGAAAGAATGCGCTCGAAGTTCCTTCTCATCAGATTCTTCTCCAACTTTGATGATTACATCATAATCTTCACCATTTTCAAGAGCAATATCCAAATCTTCAATAACTTCGGAAGAATAGCGAGACGACATATCGATTTAATTTTTTCTCAAATAAAAAATCCCTTCGTAATATAAAATGCTGAATCGATTTTTTATTATGGCGTAAAGGGATCACCTTAAAAAAATGATTTAGTACAACTATGTCTAGATCTTTGAAGTTTTTATTATCAATGAATTTCAATTGTGAATTTCAATTTGTGAAATGTTAACAAACTTAACATTTTACAACATTATGTAACGAAACTTATACAGATCTATTAATAATCATGAGATCTAACAGGTACAGAATTGATTTCTCCATGCGAAAGCTCGTGACAATAATATTTTCAAAACAGAATATAGTATTATATAATCAATATTTCGCCATACAAGTTCCTTCCGGAAGTATCTTTTTTTACATGTAATTATTAGGATTGTATTATTCATCTTGATTAAAGTGTTTGAGTTATTTGAAAGGATAAAAAATACTTTTTTTTTTTTTGTTTTAGAATAAATTTAATATCTAATAAGTTTATACGTTAAAGTACTTACCAAATGTCTACTTTAATATATATTCTTCAAAAATTTTCTCTAAAATTAATTGTATTTTCTTTAATAAATTAGATTGTATATTCATACAATCATCTATTTTATTATTATCAAACAAATTGATGTTTTTTTAAATTATTAAAATTTTCAATATCACGTTCTCAATTCAATTACATAATTTTCATATTTTAATAATTGATTCGTTAACGATTGTAATTAAAAGAATGTAATTAAGTTAACTAACGGTTTCCTTTTACAGTTAACAATTTATTTATAAATTATAAAAATAATTCGATATGTTGAAATAAAATTTTATATTCATTTTCATTACGAATTTTAAAGAAAAATTATAATGAGACGCGTTATTATTGATTTTTATAACTCATCATTAAAATAAATTATTGGGAGACTCGTTATTATTAATTGTTATAACTCATCATGATTACTAATTTCTAAAAATAAATCATTGACTGACGTGTTATTATTTACCGCTACAAACTCTAGATAATGCTCTTTTAAAATACGGAGCACGCTCCTTATCATCACCAACCTTGATGATTACATCATAATCATCACCATTTACAAGGACTTTTTCAAAATCTTCGATACTTCGGGAAATAACGTGATGGCATATAAAAAAAGGAAAATCGCAAAGGTTCCATTGACTTTAATACCTTTTGCTCCATGAAAAGAATGTTGTCATTGAAATCATATTATAGATCATATGAGTTACTGTATCTCATAAATTGATTTTACTGGTATGCATTAAAAAACATATTAGAACCAAAGGAATTATAAATATTGTTTACTTTTCTACCATCTAAATTTTTAGTAATCAATTGGTATATTTATATAAATTAGTCCGATTCACCGAAAGTTTAACCGAACCATCGCTAACAATAAACCGAACTTATGACGCATCCCTAGTATTGTTACCAATAGGGTTAGATATGAGACACCTCCGTATGTCAGGTTTTTTTCTTAAATGTGTAATTTAGGCCGGTGTCGGCAAATCGTCGCTAAAAACCTTGATTATCCTCAATCCTAATTAGCGACGAGTTTAAAAAAAAACTAAATTCGGGTTGTTTATTTATTATTTTAATTTTAATAAACAAAAAAAAAAAACGCGTATAGACATATTTTTACATTTTTAACTTTAAAAAATTGTAGAGTCAAAAGTTCGGCTTACTATGTTCGTAACTCGATTTTTATATATTTATATATATTTTATTCTAGGAATAAAATTAAGATCGATCACATGAAATAAAGATTAAGAATTTAAACATGAATCAATACAAAAAAATGACTATCGTCATTATGAATTAACTCTTCTTTACGACCTGGATTACTTCATATTCATCAATGGTGAAGTTGGTTGGAATGCTAATGTTAGTATATGTGTATCCATTACATGCAGACCAAGAATTTTCTAGTCCAAGCAAATCATTTCCACCGCCAAAAGTTGGTCCATAACTACTGTCATTATATATCGCATTTTGATGGTTTTGAAAAACACGACCAATTTTTGCAGAATTGAGCTTATTACTATCTGTTATGTTAAATAAAAAGCTATCCAGTGTATATGCATATTGACAATTCTGATTCCAATTCAAAGGATTATAACCACCAATAATTTGCTTTGAACCTTTAACTCTAGCAATAGATATTGTGGCACCCTTGCCATCACATAATCGATGAAACGTTGCAGAATCAAAACCATCCCTAGTACCACGAAGAAGAAGATTAAATTTGTATGGAATTTTTGCTGCATAATCTTCACTTCTTTTATCGATCCACTTCGCAAAAAGCTTAAAAAAACGTTTGTTAATCAAGACAGAATTAAAACTAGTTTTAGGATTCCTAGGAGGCTTGAAGTTAACTGTTGGAACAGAGTTTGAAACCATATGATATCGAAGAACATCATTTAGCAAATCTTGAGGCAAGAAATTTCTATACGGATATACTTTTAAGAAAAAGTCTTCCTTGGAGATATCATAGAACCTGATTAACGGGGCATATTCTTGAACTATCTGTTTAATATCTGTTGAAGTTTCCGAGGACCACGTAGATTCATCATCACTTTTTAGGTTATGAACGAAAAGCCATCTAAGAAAAGATTCCCATATCTCAATTTCTTCCATATTAAGATCATCTCTTTGAAGTACCATTGTAATAATTGGTTTTTCTAAAGATGTAAATTTTTGAGATGTAAAGAGGATTTTCGGTTCTTCGCTTATGATTTCAAGACAACAATTTTTCAGCTTTTCAAATGTTTCATGTTGGTAAATGACTTCAAGTGGGACAACAGGATCCTTATGCAAATATTCTTCATCATCAATTAAATAATCCTGGATGTGTTGAATCAAATTGCTTAATCCCAGTTCATCGGCCGCAACTAAGAATTGCAAAATTACTTCCTTATGGTGTCGATCGTAATCTACAATTCCCGTATACAAATACCTAGAAAATTAAGCATCATCGAAAAAAAGTATTATTAAAGTTTTAAGAATAATAATCGTTAATATATAAATGAATTGTTTTGACTTGCCTGAGGATTAATTGGAACACCTCGGAAGAGATATTTGGTTTTTTAAAAATAAAATTACCTTTATCTTCTTTTTCTTCCCAATCTTTAGATAATGCTCTCTTAAAATATGGACATCTAGTACGAAGCACGAATGAATGCGCTCGAAGTTCCTTCTCGTCAAGTTCTTCACCAACCTTGATGATCACATCATAATCATCACCATTTACAAGGGCTTTTTCAAAATCTTCGATAACTTCGGGAAAATAACGTGATGGCATTTGATTCAATTTTTTAAATAGAAAAAACTTTCGGGCGTAAAAAATGCAGAATTGAAGCTTTTTATTGTTGCATAAAGGAAGATCAAAAGGTTTATTGATTATGGATCGAGACACCACCTTTCGCTTATCAAAAGCCATATAACCTTTTTTGAGATAGTATAACCATAACCATTAATAAACGGAATGTCCGCAAGGTAACATGTTTATAACATTTTACATCACATCGTAACGAAACTTATACAGATATATCAATTATCATATTATTTTTTATTGTGAACAGAACGTCTAATAGGTACCTGATTTTTTTTCCTATGTAAAAGCTCGTGACAATGATATTTTCAAAACAAAACAGTATTACATAATCAATTTATGTTCGTTAATATCATTGTGTTGTGGCTTAATGTCAAATATTTACTTCATATGAATTTTAAGCTTAAATATACAAATTTGAAATTATCTAATTTCTTTTTTTCTCAGATTTTCATGGTAAAAATCATGGGAATTGTCGACTTTATATAATTATCTAAGTATAGCGATTATGCATAGAACAAAAGGGATTGAACATATTGTCCAAAAATTTATAAATCAAAATTACCTTTCCTGTATAATAAAATACAACGCCATCTAAAATTTAGTAATCGATTGTCTGATTGGTTATGTAGTCTCTCTCTCGTATAACAATTCACGAATTATAATTTTGCTGATTTCCCAACAGATTTTTGCTAACGCAATTTTGTCTACTTGACAATTCACGACACTGTTGGGTTTCCGAATTAATTACTAACCGCGCCCAGGTCCATTACTGCGTCCTGTTCCTTTGGCATATTTCTGACCTTAGTGTATGTGATGATACCATTTCTTCCCTCCACACGGCCCTGATCAATTGTTCTTTTTTTTTTAATAGAGAATTATAGATTTGTCTCGAGATAGAATTCTGTATATATGTGCTTCGTTTTTTTTTAGTTAATGAATTTCACTTAAGGACTATTACAGAGCCATTAATAGTTAGTTTTTTTTTGCATTTCTTAATAAACTCTTGTTCCTTAAACTTTGTTAATATAATTTTCTATTGTAAAATATCGTCGTTTCAGTTAATGATATCTTACCTCTTAGCACGAAATATGATTATTTATCACCCTCTATCACACACCACGCTTAATAAGCTAGTATGCGTGTAATTTAAAAATTATCATATTAATAACGAAATCATTGATGAAAATTACGATCTGTTAAACCAAAAAAAAAAAAAAAAATTTGATTGATTTTATAAAAAGTTCTAAGTTTTCAAGGATGCAGTGATTATATATAATATACGAGTATATTATTCTAAACTTATAAAGTTGATTTATACTTCACGAATTAAAATCAAATATTTTATGGCAAAACTTATTGTCAGTGTAGAAATTCGAAATTGAATCCAAAGTCAAAACTTATATAAGTTATTGTTAAAGCATATGAAAATTTATAAATTGCAAATGAATTAGATACACATCTTGTACAAAAACGTATATCAACGGGTAGCATACGATTATGTTCAAAGGAAAGTTTTTGAATGGCCCAAATCTGGTTGCAATAATAATGGTAATAGGTCGGACAAACTCGATTTCATAGCATGTGATAATTTATGTCATATCGCGTAAATTTTTTTTATCGTAAAGTTCAATCAAAATGCCTATATATAAAGAAAACACAAATTCCCATATTTATTTGACGAAGATATTCCTGGTTGACAAAAATGTGAACTTTGGGGCCTATTAGGATTTTATAATTAAATTATCTAAAGTTTCAAATAGTCGAAAGAAATAAAGTTTTTTTTTTGCATTTTATTTGATCAAGTAAAAAAAAAGTGATTGGCTAAAAAATGGACGCGCGAAAATGCATTCCCTCCTTTTTTTTTCAGGGTCCTTGCCTTAAAAATTTTATTATCACGCGATATCTTATATTACCGCGCTATAAATAAATTTAACACGGAATTATAAATGAATTCTTGAACTAACAATGACGTATGATAAATCTAACGTAATAAAGTATCTTGCTGACGCATAATTAGCACTTAACGTTTAAATAGTGTGATGAGATGATATGTAATTATAAGCACAGTATAATAAATTAAAACAAGACAAAACATGAAAAAATAACATAAAACTCTGTAAACGGATTTTGATCTATCACCACTTGGACTTTCTTGAACCATATTATCTTCACTTGCACCTACTTTCTTCACTTGTATCTACACTATGATTTTTTTCATCCTCACCCGCATTATGTTTAATATGTTTAATTGCTTCCAATCCTTTGCTCAATAAATCTATAATTAAAAATATAATGGATTTGACGAAGATCATGAATGTTATCATTGTATAATTCTCATCGAGAAACTTTTTATATAAAAACTACAAATGAATTAATAAAGGTTTTGACGTGTTAATATAATTAAATAATATATTATTTAAAAGAAAGAACTTTCTATAAATAATATACCTGAATAACAAAGAGTGGAATGTCTTTAATGAAAATATGAAAGATACTACACCATAACATAAACATTTTGGATGTATCAGAAAGTGGTGCATTAAATCCTTTTAAATTGCCAATTCGTGATTCAAGCAATTTCCATGCATCAAAATCTGATCCTATAACTATTATTACTAATGCCAGAAAATAAGTTGAAATTTCTTTAAACCAATTATGTTCACTTGTCTTAATTTCATGAATTATCGTTGCAGTCATAAATACAACATTTAAACCGAATGGAACTATCAGGACTACAAGACTTTAAAACAATAATCAGCTTATAAAAAAATGAAATGACAAGTTCAGAAAGTTTGAAAAGATCCACATGTAATCTTACCTTGTTATATAAAGCTCTGGAACCTTTCTTGCGTCATAAAAGAGAAAAAGCAAGTCCATGATAAAACCAAATAAAATAAATGCTATTGCAAATATTAACACATTTTGTCCCTAAAAAAAATTATAAATTAGTGAGTTCTTATCATTTTTGTTAGGGATCAACATTAAATGAGGGTTACCTCTTGGTTTATAATTTTTGCTATTATGTAACATATAGAGAGAAATGTAAAAATTATAAGAAAGATGATAATGCTTATTTTTCTTTTTTTAAAAAATGCTATTACAAAGGAATAAGTGATCGGTCAGTTTGAATTAAAAAATAAAAAAAAATAAAAAAAATTTAAAAATTAAAACTTACAAATAATTTTAGTACTAGTTTCATTATTTGTTCCCCCGGAATCATCATTTCCAACGACGAGAGTACTGTACATGCCACTTTCACAATGTCCAGGAACGCCACAATAGAACCAATGTTTGCCTTCTTGAGTGATTTTAGTAGAAAATACTTTAGGTGCTGAAAATTCGCCATCTGAACTAAAAGGCATTAGGTTTTGCGGATCTTACGCAGCTTGCCGCTGTATCGGATTCAATCACACTATGTGAACCATGCGTCCAAATGAAGTGGATCTGAAAATTTTGTAAATGTTTAAAGCAATGCTAAATAAAGTGTTTTTTACTGTACATACAATATCACCTATGCTAGCATTTACAACATTTGATTCGAATACATTTTGTCCAAATGCGTTACCAACTAGAATTTTAATCTGCATTGCATTAGAAAAGGTGACAAAAATAGCGAGATAAAAGAAGACATAAAATGTGCTCATTTTTTGCATTTTGTAAAAGTGAAAGAATTTTTATCATATTATGATTATGATTATTATTTTATTTTTTTTCAAAAGCGGTTCAATAGAAAAATCGGGAATTAATTTATTATTATTCTCATTTAGGAATCATGTACTATGAACTAATATTCGACGTTTAATAAATAATAGCGTTCATGCAATAATATGTGTAACTCAAAGCAACATGAAAGAAATTTGGTAATTGTCGCGATAATCAATTTCCTAAATATGAAAAAATAGGAAACTTATGTTTCATGATAAAAGTTCGGCTTGTGTTTATATTTCAGTAAATCATAAATAAATTAGTAAACCTTAGATCAAATTTTGAATTACTACTGTAAGGTAATTCTTATATTACAAACAACACGTTATAACAAATAATTTCCATTTTGAAAAGTATAATGCTACTGAAGTTTCATTGGTCATCCAGCGACCGCTGACATTACAGAAGGAGCAAATTTTTAAGAGCAGTTCATGGCCTGCCGACACTTGAACAAGGTTACAGTCAAGCATTATGACCGCAGTTCACGCGTGTAAACAAATTTGTAGATTAGCATTATGAACACGTAAAGGATATATACTCGGTGATTTACATGCATTAATGTATTGAATAGCAAAATTAATTGGAAAGTTAGAGAGTTAGGGAAATTATCAATTTTCAGGAAAGAGTAAGGAGATTATGCTTAATTTAATAGCCATAAGCTTTCATTATTTCAATCTGTTAAGCAAACATAAACTATTTGCTTGCTTAGATTGTTCCCATGCACTTAATGCTGACTAGTGATTGAAGATGCTTTGTCAAATTTCTCACGACTAGGAAAAAGGCATTGGCCTCCCTTTACAAATTTAACAAAAATTGCGGAGATAAAAGGAAATGAGCATTTATTTTTTACAATTATTTGACAAAACAATTAAGTTTACTGCATCATAAAACGTTTTATATAAGATAAAAATTTTTTTTTTATAATAAATTCCATTTGAATATCGCGAGGTTGGGTGTCATAGCCTACCTTTAACGCTTTCGATATCAGTTAATCGATGGATTTATTAAACAATTTGCATTATTCTTCAGGCAGTTTATTATTAATAGTAACTTCACAGGTTATTAGTGAAGTTACGTTATAATTATCCGGTTCAGATAATTAAATTTTTGCTGTTGCAAATTACTCTACGGCCAAAGTATAATTATCATATGTGGCCGTTTAATTATTTCCTATCCAAGTATGGTAATTATGTGGAAAATGGATTGGCGCAAATTACAATTTATTTGAACACAACTGCAAAAAAATTGTATTAGTGCATCCAAGTACAGACATTAATTAAGGATTCCAAGAGAGTAGCTAATTTATAATGAAAATATCCAATTTTGCCAAAGATTTTATTGTGCTTCAAAGGTGAAATTAATACTGATAAACATGTAACTTTTAACATGTACTTCAAAATAGCATATAAGGGCCAAGAAGATATAGGCATTTTATTTTATAAAATGAAAGCCTTCTTGATCAGAAATAATAGTTTTACGTATATATGCAACTTTATTTATAAATCATATGTAAGAAATAGTTATATATTAAGAATGTTCTGAATCAACATATCAAAGAAAGAATTCTGTTAGACAAATTTCATTATTAATTAACTTTTCTTTACGACCTGAAATACTTCATATTCATCGATAGTGAAGTTGGTTGGAATCCTTATGTTAGTATATGTGTTTCCATTAGAAGCATTCCAAGTATTTCCTTGTCCATGCAAATCATTTCCACCACCAAAAGTTGGTCCATAACTACTGTGATTATATATCGCATTCTGAGGGCTTTGAAAAACACGACCAATTTTTGCAGAATTGAGATCATTACTATCGGTTATGTTAAACAAAAAGCTATCCCATGTATTTGCATATTGACCATTCTGATACCAATTCAAAGGATTATAACCACCAATAATTTGCTTTGAATCTTTAACTCTCGTAATAGTTATTGTGACACCCTTGCTATCACATAATTGATGAAACATCGTAGATTCAAATCCATCCCTAGTACCACGAAGAAGGAGATTAAATTTATATGGAACGTCCTTTGTAGCATAGTCTTCACTTCTCTTATCTATCCACTTCGCGAAAAGCCTGAATAAACGTTTACTGACAAAGACAGAATTAAAACAAGTTCTAGAATTCCTAGGAGGCTTGAAGTTGACCGTTGGAATAGAATTTGGAACCATATGATATCGAAGAACATCATTTAGCAAATCTTGAGGCAAGAAATTTCTATACGGATATACTTTTAAGAAAAAGTCTTCCTTGGAGATATCATAAAATCTGATTAACGGGATATATTCTTGAACTATCTGTTTAATATCTGTTGAAGTTTCCGAGGATTCTGAGGATCACATAGATTCTTTATCGATTTTTAGGTGTCGAATAAAAATCCACCTAAGAAGAGATTCCCATATGTCAATTTCTTCCATATTAAGATCATCACTTTGAAGTATCATGGTAATAATCGATTTGTCTGTTGTTGGATTTTCTAAAGTAAAGAGAATTCTCGGATCTTTGCAAATGATTTCAAAGCATTCATCTTTTATGTTTTGGAAAGTTTCAACCTTGTAAATGCTTTCAAGTGTGCCAACAGGATTCTCCTGCAAATATCCTTTTTTCTCAGAAATATATCCTTGGATGTGTTCTATCAACTTGCATAATCTGAGTTCATCACACGCGATTAATAATTGCGAAACTATATTCTTATTGCATTGATCAATATCTATAATTCCTGTATATAAATATCTAAAAAAAAATCAAGTAGGTTAATCCTGTAACGAACAAAAATTCTTAAAGATATGATTGAATTGTTTTACTTGCCTGAAGATCAAATGGAACACCTCAGAGGAGATATTTGGCTTTTTAAAAATAAATTTTCCGTTATCATCTTTTTCTTCCCAATCGCTAGATAATGCTCTTTTAAAATATGATGATCTGGCACGAAGTATAGATGAATGTGCTCGAACTTCCTTCTCATCACCAGCCTTAATTATTACGTCATAATCATCACTTTCCTCAAGAGCTCTTTCAAAGTCTTTAATTACCTCTAAATGATAGTTCTCGTTTGCTGACATATATATACAGTACCTTATTTAAGTGATAACGATTAAAAATTTTAAAAATATATATGATTTATATGAAACCTTAATAATCAGAAAAGTCCATCTCTTTTGGGTTTTTTATATGTAATGTTTACCGAAGAAAAATTTCCTTGGATCATAATTATGAGAAAAAATTTTTATGTAATCATTATTACGAAATACTTTCAAATTTATTAATTATATAAGATTATTGTTTGTTTATCAATGTCAAAATTGTCAAACAGGCGTAAAATTTTGCCAAATCAATATTTATTCGATCTACTTTAAAAAAATATTAATACACAAACTAATGTAGTCATATGGCTTATGAATTCATCGGTTAAACCAATAAAAGTTGGAATCATCTGATAAAAATGCCCTTGCGAAGGAAATTGATCCCTTGTTGGGGAGTAATAAAAATATCGGTTTAAAATATGTATATAAACGTGTAAAAAAAATTAAAAATAAAAAAAAAAATAAAAAATGAGCAATTCTGCACTCGTGGCCGCGGCCTTGTCTGAAGTAACGAATTCTCGAATAATTACGCAAGAACAATACATATCGTTACAAAATGATAACAATTCCGACTATAATTTTCAAACTTTTGATTATAATTCACTTCGTGAGAAATACTTGGTAAAAGACAACGCTGATTATGATGTTCCAGATGATCGACGTTTAATTATCGAAAACGTTTTCATAAAAACTCTTTCCGGAGAGACCATAACGTTAAGAAACGTTAACGCGAATACCTCCGTACGTCAATTGAAAAATGAAATTTATAAAACTGAACGAATCCCACCGGAGGAAATAAATTTACGTTATAATAATAAAACACTTCAAGACCATCTAACGTTAAAAATATTATGATATCACAAATGATTCATTAATTTATTTGACTTTGCTATTACGTGGAGGAGGATCTATTACAATTTTTGTCCTTGATCGGGATTTCTTGGACCCTCCTTTTGACTATGATTTTACAAATATACAAAGTTCCAAGAAATATATGCGTGGAAATTTCAATTATAATCGACCATATGGATGGAGACGTATCGCGTTAAAAATTCTTGATAAATTTAATGACAATAGTTGGCTTGGGGTAAATAATAGGGTAACCTGCTTTGATTCCGTGAAAGATGAATGGATTGTTAGCTACCATGGTACCGCAAAACATAATGCGAATTCAATCGCAAAGGATGGATTTGATTTGAGTAAAGGAAAGAGATTTCACTTTGGTCATGGAATTTATTCTACTCCATATATTGAAATAGCCGCTTCATATGCTCAAAACTTTGATCTTGAGGGAGAGAAATATAAAATCGTGTTTCAAAATCGTGTGAAACCTAATGCCTTTAAGACAGTATCAGATGGAAGTATTTTTGTTACTGATAATGATAGGGATATTAGACCTTATGGAATTTGCATTCAAAAAGCTTAAAAGTAATTTCTTTTTCTTTTCTTTTTCTTAAACATTAAATTTCAAAGAAAATACTTATTTTTTTTTAATATTGTTATGATTAGAAATTAACTTAAATTTATATTATATGTTGTAATTATCTAATGGGTTTAGTAAAAGGCGAGTTGAGCGTTCGATATTTTTTTAAGTTATACTCTAAAATAATTTATCGTCATTAGAATTCAACATCGCTCAGACTCCTTATAAAATAATAAAATATTAGTTCATTTATCAGATGTAATGGAGCCATCCATTTTGTTAAACATCACTATTTAATTGTTATATAAACCATTAGACGCAGATTTTGGTTGGACGACAGTGAGCTGGTTATCCATCAAAAAAATTGAGAAAGTAACGCGTGACTGTAATCGTTTTCACGTGAAATATCATTAACTCACGTGCTCGGTACTACATGACACCAAGATAAAATTGCCACATCTAGATAAAAATTTACTTTCAAACATTTTCTTTCAATTAAAAATGGGAAAAAGAAAAGCAAATGATGATAAAATTGATTCTATGGATATTTCAGGAGAAGAGTCGGATGAAGAAGGAGCATCTGATGGAGGAGAGAATGAACATTTGGAAGTAATGTATAACAACGATTCTTGCATTTTTTTGAGTTTGGCAAATTAAATATTTCCTTACGAAGCTTTTTTCAATTTCCCTTTTTAACGTACTAATGATCATAGAACGAAATAGTCGATGTAGATTTTGATTTTTTTGATCCAAAAGAAATAGATTATCAAACAATAAAACAATTAATGATACAATTATTTTCAACGGATGCAGAATTATTTAATCTAAGTGAATTGTCGGAATTAATTATAAGTCAACCATTATTAGGTACAACTGTAAAAATTGATGGAGCTGATTCTGATCCTTATGCTTTACTTACCGTGTTGAATATGAATGAACATAAGGTATACATGTGCCTACTTCAATATATTATATATTATTAAAGAATCTAAAACATATCAAATCTAATACATATCATTTATTATTTAGGATAAAGAATGTATAAAACAAATAAAAAATTATTTAATAGAAAAAACAAAAAAAGATACAAATTTAAACGAAAAATTAATTGAATTATTAAAAGAAACTTCACAATTTCATATCGGATTAATATTAAGTGAGAGGTTAATAAATATGCCGGTACAACTCGTCCCACCAATGTATAAAATGTTACAAGAAGAAATTCAATGGGCTATTGAAGATGTAAGTAAATTTAGACATTTTGAAAAAAATTATTTTTCAAATTTAATTTTAAAAAAAAAAATTTATGTTTTTGTTTAGAAAGAACCTTATGAATTTGAATGGTTTCTGATCATAACTAAAACTTATAGAGAGATTGATTCCACTTTGGATGAAGAAGATGTGATGCCAAAAAAGAAGATGAAAAAAGTCAAAAGCGTACGTATAAAATGATTCGAATCCTTTAACTTTCTTAAATTATACTTACACGTGAATTTGTTAGTCTGAGCCGACGATTTTTTATTTTCATCCCGAAGACGAAATCATTGAGCAGGTAAATTACAATTAATTCATTTAATTTGATTTTCATTTCATTTCGTAATTCACGCTCTTTTGTTAAAAACATTTTTTTATTATAGATCGCAAATTATCAATGCAATTTTAAATTAACAAAACAAACTGTAACGTCAGATTCGAAAAGGGCCTTTTCGGATTTTGGCATTACACCTGCGATGAAAATATTTATATTGCATAAAAGTAAATTGGATCAATTAATTAATGATTTGGAAGCAGCTTGCAAATAGGTAATCTTTTTTTTAAAATAAATTACTACGATTATAATTGATGTGACAGTGTAATTAATATAGTGACAATCTATTGTATGAATTGGTTTGTATTTTAGCATCCCTCCCAAGTAATTTTGACTCTACCATCATCTATATCAGCAATTTTCTATAATTCAAGAAAGAAATTAGCATACATCGTAATTTTAATAAATTAATAATTCTTGTAACGTTGGTTACCTCAAATGCTTTTGACGTCATATCAATATCACCATGTTTACATATTGGACACTTGACAAAAAAAAAAAAAAAAAGTGGATTTTAAAATTAATGTTTTTAAAGAGGGGATCATTTCGTTAAATTAATTACCTTGTCAACTAATTTTACGTTAACAGAACCTTTTGGACCCGTAACCTTTATACATTTACCGCATATTGGCGAATCTGCCGGATTTGCAAATTTACCATATTGTGGTGCATTCTGTAATGTAGTAAAGTAATTATATAAATTAATTATTCATTTAGAAAATGTTAAAGGAAGAAAATTGAAAATTATAATTTACTAATGCTGCAACAAATTCATGGTCATAATTTTGCCAACCGCATGCTCCAATACCCACACCAGGATCTAAATAATCAAATCAAAAAGAAAATTAGAGTATAATCTCATTTTTCCTAAAAAGGAACTTATGTAATTACATACCGTAATAAGTTCCATCCCCTTTACCGTTCATATCAATACCAGGTTCACCGTCGTCTCGTGAAAATCCACCAACGGCAGCAATGATAATGATGATTAACAGTGCAATTAACAATAAAATTAATAAAATTAAAAATGCCATCTTATATTTTTTGAAAAATTCTGATGCTTTTGGAAATTTCTTTGAAAACCATGTGGTAAATTTTGTTGTATGTTTTGAGAAAAATGCTGATATCGGTGAAAAGCAGGAAGATTTAGATTTGCTATTATTGGAGGAATCGTTAGAATTTGATTTGTTGAAAAAAGGAAGTGATGGAAGTGGTTTTTCTTTGTTGGATACCATCTTTCATTAAATAATTTTTTTTTTACAATGGTTTTTTTTAATAAAGTAATGTTACAATTTTGAACCAGCAAAATAACTTCTTAAATAAATAATTTTAAATATGAAAAAAAATTATAACATTTAATGATAAAAATAATTGAAAGGTAAAAAAAAATTAGAAATCAATTCAATTTTTTTTTTTTTTTAAAACAAATTCCTTTGAAAAAATAAAATAAAAAAGATTGAATTAGATGGTGTTATAATACGTCAAAAAATTTTCTAATTAACCAAATTTAAATTACCCTTTTTTTTTTTGAGTATAAATGTCAAATGAGTAATTATTATTTTAAAAAAAAAACAAAATCGACGATTATTTATATTGTTTTAGGAAATAATTTCTTTAACCAATTCGTCATTATAGTTGGTTTGCAATTAACTTTAAAAGGAATACAAAAATGGTGGGACCTGCAAAACATAACACGGGTAAATTTTGTGGGATAAATCATAAAATCAAATCATCAAATTCCCGGAATTCAATCATAATCGGCATTAATAACATTTCCAACATCTCAGGATTCTTCCTTATTCTTTTTCTGCAATAATAAAACATACGGTACTTATTTTACTTACATGTTTGGTAATTTTAAAGCTTATTAACTAAAAATGGACTTATTTCCATACGAAGGGAAGATCGAAATCAAAAATCGTTACAGTTCTTTGTGAGAGGTAAAACAAAAAGGATGGATCTACAAGAATCTTTATTTTAACATCGCCATCATCTGTTTGACAAAGAACTTGCACAAACGATAAAATTTTACTGCGACCCTAAGACCTTTGTATTTTTATAAAAATTTAAATCGTTATATTGAAATATCAATCTCTAAAACGCGTAGTTTTCAACTTGTTTTGACAATTTCTAACCAACCGTGCGGATACGTTATTCGTAATTTGAAACTTTTTATCCGTTAAATAAAAGTTTGAAAATATGAATAATCTGTATAAATCAAATGTAACCACGAAAAGCTATTTAAACACGACGTGAAAGCTTGTAATTTTTAGTAATCAAATGCAATGTCTTTCTTCTACTCAACCATCAATATTACCGACGAACCACATAATACATTTATTCGCACATTATGTTCGAAAATTTTATCTCATCCTTACAGACAAATAGATTCCTCCTCTTTTTTGCATTTAGGATATCATTCTTATAGTAATAATGAGTTTGACAATTTGATTCAAAAAACTTTTAATTCAAAGAAATTTATTAATCATGAAAACTCTATTTACATCAAATATCAAAGGAATACATTAAAGACCATTTTGCCAGTCTGTAAAAGATGGTTTCAACCTCTTAAAAATGATTTAAAAAATTTTAATGAAACAAGAAGGGGAGAATATGATGAATATTTTCCAAGGGATAATAGATTAATTAATAAAATTGGTGAAATTCAACCCGGGTTTAATTATCTTATTGATTTTGACCATGTAAAAGGCTGTGAGTTGATTTTTGGATCAGATTATGGGATTTATATCTCTATAACTACTCAATCAAATACAAGTTTTAGAAATAATGTTAGATATAATGAGATGCAAGAAGCTCATCAACGCAAACAATTTGCCGAAAAGAAATATTTAAATAGCGCGATTAGAGTACTTAAAGCTACTTATACAAGAAATCGACCACTTGAGTTTGAAGATGAACAAGATGAAAAAATTGCTAGATTAATTGGGAAGGATCATGGTAGGCGCATTAAAATTAATTCAATTCAATTAAATTCAATTAATTCTCTTCATGATTGTAACTTTTTTTTTTTTATTTTTTAAAAAAAAAACAATTTTAGAAAAATGTAATGGAGATTTTAATATCTCGTTTCGAACATTTTGTTTTTGTTTAATAATTCTTTGTTCATTCTTTTTTTTTTGCCTAGCTTTATTATTCTTTAATATTAAACAACAATAAAGACAACATATTTTATTATTTTCATTATGGTATAATAATTATAAAATCATTTTTTAAAATCTCTTTATAATCTTGAATGATTGATTTATCTTTTTACTTCATCAGTGGACATGATTAAACCTCCGCATAAGCTGAGCTGGCTCACATATATATGATCGTAAAAAGTTAAAATAAATTTAAACCTGCTCAAAGGAAAAAGAGAATTGGTAAGCTTTTATTTTTATTTTATTTAAAAGCT